GTTCTGAAAATGCTTCTCAAATTTCAGGGATCAAAGGGGATCACATCGGCATGCCTAACTTAAAGGGGCAGAGAAGGGTATTCCTCCCTGCACTCAGAAGGAGAAGGGATCAAGAAACATTGGTGAACACAGTAATATCTACCACATATATCAGTGCATAAATATAGTATAATTTATTTAAGTAATCCCTTATTGGTGGACATTTAGATGGCTTCTGGGTTTTTTTTTCAAAGATCTTTCTACATTTATTTTTGCAAACTTGTGTGAGTGTATCTGGAGTGTAAATTCCAAGAAATGGATTTGCACAAACAAAAGGAATGTGCATGTAAAGTTTTGATAGCGCAGGGCTGCTGTTTTGAGATAAGTTCAAGAGGCATGAAGAGAGGAAGCCACACAATACAGGACACAAAGGGAAGAAAGGGATGGGAGAGATTTCGAGAACAGACTTCAAGTTTGACTTTCTAATGCATAGGCCCTTTGAATCCTGGCTATTCATATCTACTAAACCTCAGTATGTGTTCAATAAGCTCTTATTTTTACTTTTGCGTGTTTGAATGGCATTTTGCTACTTGCCATAAGTTACATCAAACTTTGAGGGACACAGAAAGAGGGATGGCCCGATCCTTACTCTCATTTCGGTTTTCAACCTAGTAGAGAGCTGGGGCAGGGAAAGACCACACTACACCAATGTTTATGAGTTGAGCTGCTTTTCAATCCAGCACCAATGGTTGATGGGAACGAAGCTTCCTCACATCTGGAACAGGAGCACAAACTAAGAAAAGCCTTGCTTAGAAATTCCATCTCTGCACCAGAGTAAAGTCCAGCTGAGACTTCACTTCACAGAAGCTCTATCAACCGCTATCAGAGCTCATCCTGATCTCCAGCTTTTCTACATTTATAACACATGGCATACAAGTTAGTCCACATTTGGTTTTGTATTATTCTCTGTTTGTCTTGTCTCTAGAATTAGATTTAAGGCTGAGTATGGGGAAATATTTCATATTTATTTTAAATTTTCTACAGAGCCTTGCAGATATAACTCAATAAAGGTGCAGCTGTTGACTGACTAATTCGACCTAAGCCATGCAAACCTGACTTCACATGAGTGTACTATTTATAAACCACAAATGAAGTGAAGGACACCTCGGGGAAAACCAACACATGGTTCCCCATTTGCCAGGTTTCCCAGGGAATATAGATTATTGCCTTGATGATAAAACTGCAGTTATTCTGAAAACTGGCAGCAGACACCTTCATGTGCCATTCTAGTAACTACAGGCTATTTTCTTAGACTTGTATAAACTTCACATAAGTAAGCCTACCCATATTCTAAAGTAGATTGATAGAATATGGTACTCACCCTATAAGTCATCGCTTTTATTTCTAAAGTATTGGAAGCATCTTTCTCCCTTTCTATAAATGTAGTATATCATTCCCACACATTTTTCCTATTTTTACCATAATGATATGTATCTATAAATGACCTGTGCTATTGCTGTGCATGCATGTTTTACGTTTTACATGCTATTATATTCTACTTATCATTCTGTGACCTCCTTTTTCTTCTCTTTACAATACGTTTTTAATTTATCTCATGTCTATATGGTAACTCTAGTTCATTTATTAACTATCTAGAATTTCATTTCAGTAAACCCATTTTCCTGTTGATGCACATTTAAGTTACTTCCAGTTTTTCCCAGGTTCAAAAAAAATGCTGCAAGAAGTGTTCTTATTCATATCTTAATATCTTATTCAAATGTTCTTGCACATATACATAAGAGTCTCTCTACAGTATATACCTACAAGTGGAATTGCTAGATATGCATATTTTCAACCTTGATAAAGCCAAATAGCTTTTCAAAAATGGTTACAATAATTTCAACACCCACCAGCAATACATGAGGGTGCCCATTTCTTTCACATCCTCTCATGACTAGCGTTAATGTAGACTATCATCATAGTGCACAGACTTCAGTGACCCAAGCCCTGCCTGCTCTGATTGATGTATGGTAGGGGATCAATATCTGGTGCCCCACCAGGTGGGAAGTTCTGATCCCTTTGTTATATATCCATTCAATTAAGCTCACTAATTTCATTTCTTGTGGTCAGCTTGATCTATTAGTTAAATGGTGTTAAGATCTTCCCACTTGATTGTAATTTGGTTAATCATCCTTTGGTTCTTGATTATTCTATCTTCTGGTAAATTATTCTTTTTATCTAAGAGTTTTATTTTTTATCCGAAATGATGTTTTTAATCTTAAATTCCATTTGCTTGCTATTAATTACATTAAATACTATTATTCTTCTGCATACTCTCTCTTTTCATTTGTACTTGTCATATTTTTCCTTTGAGTTTCAAATGTCTGGATGGTTTTTGTTTATTTGCTTGTTAATCGAATGGGATATTTTTTTATCTTTTAGTAAAGGAGGTCTATGCAATGAACTCACATAGGGATCCTGGTATCTTTGGATTTATTTCTACCATCTAATTTGGGTCTTCTGTTTACTATTTCCTTTTTGCTTTTTACTCCTTTTTTTCTTTTTAATTCTTTGGGACTCATGAAATTTTCTATATTCTTTTCTCCTCCTTTGTTGGTTTCGAGCCTATGCATTGTATTTCTAATTTTTAACATGCATATTATCTCTACATTTTTCCTACAAAGTCTTAAGTTATTCAAGGTTTTTTTCTTCCTCCTGAACAAGACACAAAGTTAAATATGTTTTAACAACCTTTCAAGTACTCCCAGGTTGTTTTTTAACCCTCAAATTATAGTTTAAAGTAATAGTCAATTATATTTATCACTTAATTTATCAATTTCTGTGCTCACTTTTATTCTTGCATTTAATTTCTTCTCTCTGGGTTTATTGTTCTTATTGAAATACAGCTTTTAATAGATCTCTCATTGTAGATCTATGGTTAGTAAGTTCTTTTGTTTTATTTTAATTGATTTGAGAGAGCGAGCGAGAGAGAGAAATATCTATTCTGTTGTTCCACTTATTTAGGCACTCTTGGTTGATTTTTGTATGTACCCTCTCTGGGGATCAAACCCACAACCTTAGCCTATTGGGACAATGCTCTAACCAACTGAGCTACCCGGCCAGGAAAGTTCTTTTATTTTTATACAGTTATTGTTCATATTTTCTATATCTAAAATTGTGTTGTTATCAAACATTTATGCTGCCTTTCCTATTCAAAGTAAACAAGTAGAAGTTGAGGAGAAGTGCTTCATTATGGAAGTATTTCACCAATAATAAATTAAGAATAATTAAACTCAAATATCACCATTTTGCAACTCCTAATGAATTAATGTATCAATGGCTGCCAACAGCACACACAAAGGAACAATTAGCTACACATGTCTCCTACAAGCCACCTGCAAAGAAGTGTGTCTCAAAATTACACCTGAATCTGATCAAATCCATAATCCCATTACTAATTTATAAAAAATACATAAGAACCAGATAAATCACATGGGAATTCAATCAGCAAAATCTAGATATGGGGCCCTACCCAGTTTGGCTCAGTGGATAGAGCGTTGACCCATAGACTGAAGGGTCCTGGTTCGATTCCAGCCAAGGGCAAATACCTCAGTTGCAGGCTCAATCCCTGACTCCAGTTGGGGCACATGCAGGAGGCAACCAATCGATGTGTCTCTCTCATATCATGTCTGTCTCTCCCCCTCCGTTTGACTCTCTAAAAATCAATGGGAAAAATATCCTTGGGTGAGGATTAACCAAAAAATAAAAATAAAAATCTAGATGTGGGAAACTCTGCAAGTCAAATCAAGCAACTCAGTTCCTTCCAGAACTAAGTTGTAAAGAAAAAGATATGGAAAGAGGAGAATGGAGCGGTGCTTGAAAAATTGGAAGAGACTTAAAAGATGTCTATATTTTTTAAAGTAAGTTAAACTATAGGGTTTAGAGATGCAACCTCAGTGATATAACTTTAGAGAAAGCAAGGAAATGACCATAAAAGTCAAGATGTGGTTACTTGCCGGACCAGTTTGGCTCAGCGGCAGAGCATCGGCCTGCGGACTGAAGGGTCCCAAGTTCGATTCCGGTTAAGGGCATGTACCTTGGTTATGGGCACATCCCCACTGGGAGGTGTGCAGGAGGCAGCTGATTGATCTCTCTCATAGATGTTTCTGACTCTGTATCCCTCTCCCTTCTTCTCTGTAAAAAATCAATAAAATATATTTTTTAAAAAAAGATGTGGTTACTTTTAAGTGAAAGGGAAAGGATTGGGATTGGGATTGGGACAGGGTAAATGGAGAAATTCTGGTGTGGCAACAGAGTGGACCCAATAGGGGTACAGCAGAGAACAAGACCAAGTGTCCAGTTCTCAGGGAGTTTGCACTCTATTGAGAGAGATAAGCCAATAAATGCATAAGACAATGACAGTTAGCGGTAAGTGCTATAAAGAAATGTAAAGTATGGTGATCCCAAACCTCTAATTAAGTGACAACTGAGCTTCACTCTTAACATAAAATATATAGAAAATGTATTTATTTGATAAAGTAACACTTTTTTAAATATTATGGTCAATAAAGAGGAAAAAAGGACGAAAATGAAGAGAGAGAAATAAATAGAGGCACATTAAAGCAAGGCCAAAGGCTGATACATAGAGGAGACACCCACAAAGGCATAAAAGAACACCCACACCCATAGGGTCACAATTTATACAGTAAAATTTTTTTTACTACTGCTACATGTCCACGACTGTAGAGATAGGGGAGCTTTCCCCTTCAGCTGATATTAGGTCAAGTTCCACAGACCTCCCAGACTTGGTCAGTCCAGTCCTCACTTTGCCTTAAGGTTTGTTCCCTGTTTGCACCTTGGGCCAAAGCAACACTTTAGGACAACATTTCTGAGAGCAGATTTTATAAGGAAAATGAGGTTAAGTGTGGACAAGTATACATTCCCAGAGGAGAAAGAGCATGGAAGGGCTGTGAGGGTATGCAAGCAAACGCCCCAATTCAGCCAAAATTGATTGGACATACCAGGACCTTCTCCTTGCAGCCAGGCAGCATAACAAAGTGGAAGCCAGAGAATGCAGAAGGTGGCGTGGAGAGACATTCTCCCTCTGTTCACCTTGGAAGGTTCATTTATAGCTCGCTTCTCTGCATGCAAAAAGAAAATCAATCTCACCACCTACAGTAATAACAATAAAGGCAAGAAATGATTGTGGTTTTTAATCTCTTCCTCTTGCAGCAGCTTCAGTTTGTCCTGATGTTGCTACATTTATTAGAAATAATTATCTAAGTCAATAAAACCACAAAAGTTAAGCTTCATCTCATCTGAAAACAGGAATCCTAAATGCAGTCACAATTCACTTTAAATATATAGATATATATTATATAATAATTATATTGATATTATAGCTCATATTTTGAGTTACAAAGATAGAGTATATTAACTTTAATTTGCAGACTGCGAAAAGACAGAGATCATAGGAGCAATAATCCACCATTTAACAGTAAGACCTAAGCCAAATGCTGTCTCATATGTTTTTTAGTGGTATAATTTTTCTTTTTATAGCCAGGTTTTATCCTGGTTATAAACATAATATAAAAAAGTGCCCTAGCCGGTTTTGTTCAGTGGATAGAGCATTAGCCCTCGGATTGAAGGGTTAAGGGTTAGATTCCAAGTCAGGGGAATGTACCTGGGTTGCAGATTCCATCCCAGCCTGTCGGAGCTCATGTAGGAGACAACCAATAGATGTCACATTGGTTTCTCCTCCTGTTCCTCCTCCTCCTCCTCCACCACCTCCTCCTCCTCCTCCTCCTCCCTCACTCTCACTCTATCTGAAAATCAATATGCCACAGTGAGAATTAACAAACAAATAAACAAACAAAACTATCATGGTACTAGCGTAAAACAGATAAGAGAGCCCCGGAATAGACCCAAGCCTATATGATCAATTAATCTATGATAAAGAGGGAAAAGCTATAGAATGTATAAAGACAGTCTATTCAATAAATGGGGCTGGGAAAACTAGACAGATACATGCAAAAAAAATGAAACTAGGCCACTTTCTTGCACCATATACAAGAATAAGCTCAAAATTAAATACTCAAAAAGAACACCCAAAACCATAAAACTCCTAGGAGAAAACAGGCAGTAAACTTTCTGACATTTTCTTAGGTTTATTTTTTCTGATATAGCTCCTCAGGCAAGGGCAACAAAAGAAAAACAAAACAAAACAAATGAGACTACAGTGAACTAAAAATTTTTGCATCACAAAGGAAACTATCAACAAAACAAAAAGACAATCTACTGAATGGAAGAACATATTTGCCAATGATACATCTGATAAGGGATTAATATCCAAAATTTATAAAGAACTCATACAACTTAACACCCCCCAAAAAACCAAAATACCAATCCAATTAAAAAAATGTGTAGGGGACCTGAATATACATTTCTCCAAAGAGGAAAGATGCTATAGAATATGAAAATATGCTCAAGATCACTAATCATCAGAGAAATGCAAATTAAAACCACCAGATATCACCTCACACCCATCAGAATGGCTATCACCAATAAATCAACATACAATAAGTGTTGGGGAGGATGTGGAGAAAAGGGAACTCCTGTACACTGCTGGTGGGATTGCAAATTGGTGTGGCCACTATGGAAAACAGTATGGAAGTTCCTCAAAAAATTAAAAAATAGAATTAACTTATGACTCAGCAATTCCACTTCTGAGTCTTTATTCAAGGAAATCCAAACTACTAATTCAAAAAGATATTTACAATAGCTAACATATGGAGGCAACTTAAGTGTCCATTGATAGAGGAATGGATAAAGAAATGGTGGTAAGTATATGCAATGGAATATTACTTGATCATAAAAAATAATGAAACCTTACCATTTGCAACAGCATGGATTGACCTAGAGGATATTATGTTAAGTGAAATAACTCAGACAGAGAAAGACAACTTACCATATGATTTCAGTTATATGTGGAATCTAAAAACAAAACAAAATAAATGAACAAACAAAACAGAAACAGACTCATAGATACAGAGAACAAACTGATGGTTGCCAGATGGGAAGGAAGTTAGGGGGTTGGATGAAAAAGATAAAGGCATTTAGAAGTACTAATTGGGAATTACAGAATAGTCACAGGGGTGTAAAGTATACCATAGGGAATGCAGACAATAATATTCAAATAACGCTGCATAGCACCAAAAGGGTATTAGACTTATCAGGGGATCACTTTGTAAATTATATAAACTTCCCGCCATGTTGTACACCTGAAACTAATATACAATTAAATGTCAACTGTAATTGTGTACCAGACAACCAAGGGGTGCAGGTTGCCTGTCACTATTTTAGCCAATTAAGCAGAGACAGGGTTGAATCATATATTCCAATACTGCTGGCAGTATGGGGAGCAGCAGGTCATCCACAAAAATCTGCTCTACCCCCACCATAATCCAGATGCTTATATTGGGTAGAAGGACAAAGATTATGCGGGAAAGTAGGAATTACAGGTATGGGAAAGTGGGCATAGGATAATCATTACAGGTTATAAGTCATGTGGGCTGGGAGGAGGGGTCACAGAAGGTGGGTGCCTCCGGGTGCCCCAGGACCAGATTACAGGTAATGGGGGCTGGGGTTGTAAAGAGCATGTGTCTCCTGGATTAGATTGTTTCGCCCATGAAGTTGTAAATCTTTCCATAATGACAGGCAGTTCTCAGGAAAGGAGGATGGGCTGCACACCAATGTTAGCTCCCATGTCCCAAGAAGTACAACTCCCAGAGAGGTTAGAATGTGCTTTCTCTAATCAGAACAGAACCATCATGGTTAACAGAGCATGACTAATATTTCTTATAATTAGAATTAGTTTCCAGTGTTCTGTTTCTGTTCCTAACAATTGGAAAAAAGTAAAATAATAGAAAGAATAAAAATAATTATTTATATAAACTTATTAACCCTGTCTGATATATATAATAGGCCTGGTGCATGAAATTCGTGCATGGGGGGGTTCCATCAGCCCAGCCTGCACCCTCTCCAATCGGGGACCCCTTGGGGGATGTCCGATCTTGTGGGATCGGGACTAAGACTGGCAGTCGGACATCCCTCTCGAAATCTGGCACTGCTGGCTCCTAACCGCTCACCTGCCTGCCTGCCTGATTGCCCCTAACCTCTCTGCCTGCCAGCCTGATCGCCCCTAACTGCCCTCTCCTGCTGGCCTGGTCACCCCTCACTGCCCGCCCTGCCGGCCTGGTTGTCCACAGACCCTTTCCGCCGCCATGCCCCAGCAGCCCGGGGCCTACAGCCCCGGTCATCGTCCGGTCATTTTGGTCGTGTGGCAGACCCTAGCTCTTTATATATTAGGATATGAAATATTTTTTCAGATTTGCTTTTTTCCTTTTAGATTTCTGTTTATTTTGCTTTTTTGTTTTGGTTTTTACAGTTTTTCTTCAATTTTTTTCACATTACTCACATACATATTGGTGTCTGTCCATATATTGTTTTAATTCTCTGAATTGTCCATTCCTGTTTTTTTTGTTGTTGTTTTTTTTAAAAATATATTTTATTGATTTTTTTACAGAGAGGAAGGGAGAGAGATAGAGAGTTAGAAACATCGATGAGAGAGAAACATCAATCAGCTGCCTCCTGCACATCTCCTACTGGGGATGTGCCCACAACCAAGGTACATGCCCTTGACCGGAATCAAACCCGGGACCTTTCAGTCCGCAGGCCAACGCTCTATCCACTGAGCCAAACCGGTTTCGGCTATTCCTGGTTTTAATTACTATAATTATATACCTAGTAAGGCAAGCTCTCCTCATACTTTCTTTTTTGGAATGTTTCTATTTATTTTTGCATATTTATTCTTATTGGTGAAATTTAGAATCATTTTATCAAATCCCAAATGTTGGGATTGTGTTAAATTTATGGATACATTTGGGGAGAACTAACATGTCTATAATATTAAATACGAGCCAAGTCTGTTATGTTTCTCAGTTGAGTTATATAATTTTCTGCAAATATATCCATGTTTTGTGTTATTTTTTTAATATATTGTATTGATTTTTTACAGAGAGAAAGGGAGAGGGATAGAGAGTTAGAAACATCAATGAGAGAGAAACATTGATCAGCTGCATCCTACAAACCTCCTACTGGTGATGTGCCTGCAACCCAGGTACATGCCATTGACTGGAATCGAACCTGGGACCTTTCAGTCTGCAGGCCAACGCTCTATCCACTGAGCCAAACTGGTTACGGCAATGTTTTGTGTTATTAACGCCAATAGAAATTTTTAGTTTTTCTTAACAGTATGACATTAATTCAACATGTTTGTTGAATTAATAAGTGAATAATAGAATAAACTTTAAAATCCAAGAAAACTTTTATTTAATTACAGACTAAGGGAGAAATGTGTCCTACTACCTAAAAGATTTTGGTTTAATTATACTGATACACACACAAACATAATTGACTTGATTTGCTAGAGATCATTATCTGAAATGGAACCAAGCATTCAGAATTCAAAGTCAGGCTTAGTCTTACTCATGTGTAGCAAACCTTGGGACATTACATATACTTGGGGGAAAGTTTCCACTATTGCTTCATGAATGCCTAGAGTTCTACCATTAATTTCACTGCTTTAGATTAAGAGATTTCTTTTTCTTAAAATGCAAACACCTCTCAGAAAGGTAGTAGAATACTGTAAATTAAGCCATTACAGTGTTTTACATGTTAGTATGATTTAATGATCAATTTCTTGACAACATGTACTGGTAGCTAATTAGGAAGATTTTTTTTACTAAGAGGAAGAGAATCAAAAGAGCAGAGAACCAGGAGTACCGGGATACTGGATATATGGGGTGTTTAAAGGTAAGAGGGGAAAAAGTCAGGAGAAGGAAGCTAAAATTTATAAATTTCTTTGGGCAGGAAGTGCATCTTGTTCATCTTTAAACATAATGTTTAGCATATCACAGCCACTTGTACAGGTGTGTGTGAAACTCTGCTTGCCTCATAGCTTTGCCTGTGGTTGTTCTGCCCAGAGCTGCAGTCTCAGGGCTATTCTGGGGTGACCTCTACTCTACTATTCTGGCTCCCTTTCCTCAGAATTACTCAGGGAGGAGGATGGGATGCCAGAACC